TTTTGGTGCATGTGCATGTGCATGTGCTTATACGAATCTCAACATACGTGTGTGTTCTTCAATATGACCCATATGAATTAAAAATAAGCTCGCGAACTATATTCAAGATCTAGATACTGGCACAAATATTTTGATTATTGGAATGTGTGTAAGATTTGAATTAGAATTTAGATTTTGCCTTTCGTTCTTTTGTGGGTTTGTGTTGTGGATCCGATGGTAATTTATTTGTGAATTAGAAAACTCTCACAATTTTAAGTAGATTCAATTTTAGATGTCTAGACGAGATACCATTTTTATTTTTTGACTTTAGATGGGGGGCAATATTTTTCCGCACGTCTTATTTATTTGAAGTGGAGAAATCAAATTTTCACTATAAATAAAGCGTTTCCCTTCGCTCCTTTATACCATCCCATTTCATTGTTTTTGGAGTCCTGAGGATTTGATTGAAGTAGGAAAAAATTGGCCGTGTGTTACACAATGTTTGAAGTCATCTATAAGTTTATATTTTATTTATTTCATTTAATTGTATCTTAGTTAAGTCGATTTTTGCTCAAATTAAGTCTTTGTTTACTCCAAATTCTGGTAGATTTTTGGCATTCACTCTATCAATAGGAGGTATTAGCTAAAATGGGTCTGCCCATAATGCTAAAAAAGAGTGTATGAGTGGTTTTCACTAGCAACATGATTTCCCTAGTGCACCAAGGAAAGTATGTATGAATACTTATTTGGTTGTCCGGAATTGGCGGAAAAGACAAGGGATTTGAGGAGCGTTGTGGCTACGTGGGGTTCAGCATAGAGCCGGAGACAAGCTACTCGTGCTTGAGGTAGATTGAAGCGACAGGATAATGTGCGGGTCAATTTGCTGCCAACAATTTACTTAAAGTTCCAAAATATATGAGTGTCATGTTGGGGTATTTTTGATGATTCAATCGCATTGTCCTGATACATTTTGTGAATGGAGGTCGTTCGAGCAAATTTCAGTGGCCATTAAGGCAATTCTAGACTAAATCACGCGTGTCAAACCGACAAGCCATGTTTCAATCATAAAAGATTTCTCATTAGATAATTTTTGATGCTATGGATGAACTCGCATGGTTTGCTTTACGAACAAACGTCATTTTGGTAGCCTTGACAACGATGAAAAGCTATTTGGATTCTATTTGAGTGCATTGTGTCACGATCGGACCTAGGGCTTGGAACTAATCAATGTAGGTACATATGGTCGGACGGTAAAAATTAAATTTTTAATAATTAATATTTAACAAATGAAAGGGACACTAAAAAAAATAAATTAAAACAATATAGTTAAATTTATCTCATTATTAGTTGTTCGCGTCTTCTATAAATATTTTCTTTTCTATTACTCATCTTTCAATCACTTGATCAAACCTGAAGTGTTAGTTAAAACAACAAGTTAATCATAGCCAGTTAATACTCGTTCTCCTAAGAAATAATAACATAAAAAAAAATGATATGAATGCTAGTTAGAGAACTATGAATTAATATAAAAGCAGCAGATAATTTATTTTTTCAGATATGAGTTTTCATGATAGTTTCCATTATAAAATCTATTTAAGTAATTAACAAAGTGCATCAATTAACACAATGTATAAGATTTAGAAGAAATCAAATACTACTACAATTTAAAAGTACAAATAGTCACTTTGTTTTCATATGATTTTTGTTTACTTTTTAAGTTATGAAATCTTTTCTACAATAAAATACCTATCATCAATTATAAAGTATTATTATTGTTAAATTAAGTAAATGTTCTATGATTATTTATAATTAAAGTATATCTTACAAATTTTATGAAATTTAATACTAATATATGCCTATTTAAATCCACCAATTAATTTATGTAGTATTATTTAATTAAATTATTATGACAATTCATTATCTTTATTTGACATAATTTAGGATTTATTTATTAAGGATGAATAGTTTTATCTTAAATACAAAATTGATATTATTTTATTTTAAAGTAAAATAAGTTATAATTTAAGTTTTACCTGAATTAATTTTTTGATCTGCTGACTCGCAAACACTTCTCCCTTATCTGTAAAAACACGCCAAAGTCCTGATTCGGTAAAACTTTTTTTAACATTAATTAAACAAACATGCGCGTGCACACACACACACTCTCTCTCTCTCCCTCACACACACACACACACACATATATCTTATTAATTAACTTAACTAAAATCTTTAATCTCACCTTTTTAAACCTCGGTCGACTGCCCTAACATGCATGCACGTGGCTCTATTCTTCCTCTTCTGCTTCTGATTATTACATCAGGACTCCGCATGCAGGGCTGCTTGCGGAGTCCAATCTCGTGCTGACACGTGGAAGGTCGACCTACCTACATAAAAAAAGAAAAAATAAAAATAAAAAAAGCGAAGTGGCTTGACCGATGTGTTATAGAAATATTTCATCGCATAAAAATATTTTCCCATGTTATTTTGAATATTTTCCGCATTATTCATGTGTTATAGATGTGTTATCGAGGGTATATGAATATTTCCTCACATAATAACACATAATAACACATAATAACACACCAACAACACATAATAACATAATTATATACTCCCTAGCCCGTGTTATAACACGTGAGAAATATTCCATGCGTGTTATACCGCGGGCTAGTGAAGTGTTATAGGGCGGCTATATAACATGAGGGGTGGCATTACAACCTGCGGGTAACACAAAATATTCCCATGTGTTATAACGCTGGCTAGGGAGTGTATAATTGTGTTATTATGTATTATTAGTGTGTTATTATGTGTTATTATGCGTTATTAGTATGTTATTATGTGTTATTAGTGTGTTATTTTTTTCTTATTATAGAACAAAAATGAAAACGCGCGAACTGGCTCGACTGATCCGTTATAGAAATATTCCATCACATAAAAATATTTCCCCGTGTTATTTTGAATATCTTCCGCATTATTCATGTGTTATAGATGTGTTATCGAGTGTATATGAATATTCCCCCACATAATAACACATAATAACATATTAATAACACATAATAACATATAATAACACACTAATAATACATAATAACACAATTATACACTCCCTAGCCAGCGTTATAACACAGGGAATATTTTGTGTTATTATTAGTGTGTTATTAGTGTGTTATTATGTCTTATTAGTGTGTTATTAGTTTGTTATTAGTGTGTTATAGAACAAAAATAATTTATTTAGATGTCATAATTTATATTTATTAATAACTTATAGTTATTTAATGTGTTATTGAGGGTTTAGAAATATTCCGTGTTATAGTAATATTCCCTCGCATTATTTTGAATATTTTCGGCGTTATTCATTTGTTATTTAATGTGTTATTCAGAATAATACGAGGAAATATTCATATAACACAACGACAAAGAAAAATAACGCAAAAGATATTTGCTTACGCTTTGTAAAACATCGGTCGGGTTGGGTCATGCGTTTTTATTTTTTTTATTTTTTATGTAAGTAAGCCGGCCTTTCATGTGTCAACACAAGATTTGATTCCGCAAGCTCTGCATTGGGTGTCCTGATGTAATAATTTCTCCTCTTCTGCTTGGAAAATATTTACATACGTTTAAGTTACACAAAGCTGTGTACGTCGGTAGGTTACATGAAAGGTATTAGAGGGTTATATCCGAGTTATATCCCATGTAACCTATTTGTAACTAGTAAGTTTCGTGCTTCTATTTTTATATATTATAAATTACAGCTAAGATACATGAGAGATTAGAGCGGTATAATACGAAAATAACCTCCAATGCATACGCAAATATTTCTCTTCTGCCTTCGGTCGCGGCTCAACCCAACACAACATTTGACACCGCTGTCTCCTCCGGTCTGGCTCCTCTAATCCCACGTACAGCCGCTCCGCGCTCTTGTCAACTTCGCGCGGAGCGGCTTCTCACTCACACGCAGAGCCGTTCGACAGATTCTTTCCTCCCACTTCTTCTGCTCGAAGTAGCACTCCAATCCTTCTTCCCTCACCTTCTCACACACGAGCTCTCTTCCTCCCTTGCTCGCACTCGTATAGGACGCACGCGATGCTTCCTCCCTGGGCTTCGACGCCTTCTCCTGCACGCGATGAGACCCTCAGCGTCGACTCCGACGTCAACAAACGTCTTCTCCTTCTTTTTTCCACACCTCGAAGCCGATTGCCGCCCTCCGTCTCAATGGTGCTGCCACTAGGTTTATACACGCAAGCCTTCTTCCTTCTCTACCATTCTCCCTCGCCTTGGCTTCCTCTCTCATTCACGTCTTCCGATAATTGAAGAACCCAGTCGAGACGACAATTGGTTCGAACAGACAAAGATCCAAAATTTATGTTCTTTTATTTTTATTAATAATATTATTATTTTCAGTTATTATAAATTGCATCAATAGCTCGTCACTGCCACCAAACTTTTGATAGAATTTAACACCGGGTTTATCATGGAGCTCTCAAAAACACAAAAAAAAAAAAAGAAAAAAAAAGGAAAATAAAATCCAACTCTCCCTTATATCCAAATCTCTCCCGTTCCTTCTGTTTTTCCCCATCCCGTCTCTTCTCCGGCGTAAACCCGGATTTATCAAATCCTAGTAGGAGGCGGATTATGCGGATTTATGTCGCCGTTCTCGCTTACCGTCGTGAACTGACTGAAATCCGTGGATTTAACAAGTCTTGTTAACATAAATCATCTGCTGCAGCCTTATGTCGCCGTTCTCGCTTACCGTCGTGAACGGACCGAAATCCGTGGATTTAACAAGTCTTTTTAACATAAATCATCTGCTGCAGCCAAACATCGCCTCAAATTGATCTTCCCACTTTTTTTTCCTTGTATAATTTCAACACTTCACTGACCTAAATGTGCGCGTCAATAATCCCCCGCAAATCACGCAGTACCTGTTAAAAAAAAAAAAAAACAAGATTATGTAATTAGTGCCTGGTACCATAAAGGACCACTCCATCCTCTTTTGACATGGTTTTCTATTTACTTTTCAGCGGCTCTAGTTCCGGTCTTTCATTGCAAAATGTTGGGATCTTTTGGATTCTTCTAATGATTGCTTCGTTTTTATTCCAAGCTGCTGACACCGTTTTAAAGGTATTAAAATTCCTGTTGATTTGAGCAACTTTTATTTTATTTTATTTTATTTTTATTCATTTATCTACTAACTGCTGCTGCTTCTCAACATTTTTTCATGGCAGGAAAAAATATTTTTGGATTCGTCTAGAAGGTTGAAGGTATACATGCTGTCATCCTTCAAACTTTGAGGCTCTTTGCTGGGTTTTTATTAGCCATGAGTTGATGCAATTGCGTTTTAGTTATGGACAATAAGCCATTTCTAGAAGCTTTGCATTGTCGGCTAAAGCATTCACATCATTGTTTGCAATGTTTATGTTCCCGTTGAACCAATATTCCTTCATACTGCAGGGTGGATCCGTTGATATTTTTGTTGTGAACTCTTTCGGGTCTGCTTTTCAAGTAAGAGCTTTTTTAATACTATTCCCTTAACGTGTAGAAAATTTAGCAAATATACCAGGCTAAAATTATACATTGGTTACTTAGAGCTTGACATAATTTTGGTTCTCATTCAGGCCATGTTCATATGTCTTCTATTACCTTTTCTGTCAAACTTGTGGGGAATTCCATTTTCTATGCTACCGACATATATTAAAGATGGGGGAGCATGTTTTCTCAATATAGGAGAACTGGCAAGCGGTAAGTTTAACGTATTTGAATAGCCGTATGCTATTTTCCATCTTTTTTTTCTGAAGGTTCCTGGAATTTTTAGGGAATAAAAACTTGTAGTTTCTCTCTCTTCCTATCTTCTCTGAAACAAAGATTCATCAATCAGCTTTTTATTCACAGTTGCACAACAACAACAACAACAACAACAACAAGCCTTTATTTTAAACTTGCTGTTGCATATGTTAGTTTAAAATTTTGTTACTCTTCCTTGATGTCTTATGTCTTGTTTTAGGGGCTGTCTAATTTGTAGGGTTTTAGTTGTGAAGTATTTCAAATGAAAGGTTTTAGAAACCTAGGCTTTGGTTTGATTAAACAAATTCAAAGTAAAATTTTGAGGAATCTCAAACTTACCTTTTAAGATCATTTTTGTGTATTCCAAAGTTGATTGATTTTGGCTGATTGGCAAATACATAACAAACTGTGGTTGTTGTTGTCTGTAGTCGCCCAATGTTCTGTTGCTCGCCACTAACTCACCATCTTCAACACTCAACCACCGCTACTGGTGGGTGCCACTGTGAGGCATTACACCAAATTATTTTTACTTCAAATTAAACACAAAAAAATAATCTTTTGCATCAGTTTTACACTCAACTACATAACTCTAAATATTTTAAATACACTAAAATTTTTCTAGGCATTCTTTTTCAGCAAACGGAATAGCCCTTAAGTTCTTGTTTTTTTTGTTGATTGCATTCATGCATTTTTAGAATGCATTATTATATGAAAACTGTTTATAATTTTTAAATGATTCCTTAGATTGATGCAATGCAATAGCCCTCTGATACCCATTCTTGGAAGCCATTTAACCTTCAACTTGTTAAATTCAGTAATACTGATGATTTTAATACTTCAATTTGCCCAAGTATAAGCTTAAACAAACATTTAACTGCTTATCTTTCTCGCTCTCAGTTTGTTTTATTATATTTCTTTCACTTCTTCCAACAAAGGAGGCCCTTGTACTTAATTTGTATATGAAACTAGAACTTTTAAGTTAAAATGAGTAATTCAAGTCAATCTAATTAGCACCAATCAAATTAAGGGAAGTCAGTAAGTTAAACCAGTGCGTAAAAAATATTTTCATTGATATTCAATAAAAATATTAAGAAACGAGCTTAGTTGAAATACGGGTATCTAATGCTCTTGTTGTCTGTCATTAAGATCTTCAAAGCAGATCAATGATCAGAGCAACCTAGTTGCAAGAACGGGCACTTAACATATTAGAAAAGTAACTCCATCCAATGCATGCGGTTAAAAAAAATAAAGTCATAATAATTTTATAGTTTAAATGCTATAAAATTTCGAATTTTATTTATTATTCTCTTTTGCACTGCATTTTTTATTTTAAAAGGCTTGGTAATAAAGCCTAATTTAATTTCGAGGATACAATTGATAAGTATTATGATGTTGAAGTCATCCAAATTAAAAGAATTTAAATAGATAAAAATAAATGTAATCAATAATGGATTGTTTTAATTATATACTAGAATTTTTAATAGTCAGAGAAAATAAATATTTGTATGAAATAAAAATTTGAAGTCACATATGTTTATGTAAAAAATATAGTATGTAAAGTTTAATTTAATATTATGTTTGACTTTTCAGTAATTAGGAGATGAAAGTTCCATTCAATTTTTTTAATTATGCGTAGAAGAATCATTAAAAAAGATTAGAAGAGCGAATGCAATAACTCTCTCTTTAAAAATGAATTATTTAAATAATTTTAGAGATTTGGAGTTCCATAACAATTTTAAATAATAACTACTAAGATTTTTATTTTTAAAAGTGCTTATGTTAGTCAAGTAGGTTAAAAATCTTTTTGAAATGAATTAAAAGAATTAATAAAAATAATATCTCATGAAGAAGAAATTTTTATTGGAGGAGATTTAAATAGACATGTTAAACTGGTAGAAGATTTTAGAAATATTCATTGTGGCTATGGTTTTGGAGCGATTAATGAAGAATGTAGAACCATATTAGATTTTGCTATAGCGTATGATTTTGTTATTACTAATACATTATTTAAAAAGAGCGATGAACATATTATTACTTATAATAATGATCATAATAAAACACAAATTGATTATTTTCTTATGAGAAAAAGTGATCATTGAAAATATAAAAATTGTAGGTCATTCTAAATGAAAATTTAAGTATTCAATATCGATTATTAGTTCTGAATTTTAAGATGAGGAGTTGTAAGATAAAGACTATATTGAAACATTCTTATAAAAGTAGACGGGGGCACCCAAAAGAGACAACTAAAAATATTTTTATGAGTAAACTTCAAGGTTTCAAGATTGGGATGTTATTGAAAAACCTAATTCTATATAGGATAATGTAACAAACACTATTAAACAAGTGAAAAGATGTACTGGAAGAATCAAAAGGAAAAACTATTATAAATAAAAATAATTGGTGGTGCAATAATAATGTGTAAGAAAAGATAAAATATGAGAAGCTGTGTTAAAAATCAGTTTAGATGTAAAAGCTTAGAAAACTGAGAAAAATATAAGGTGACCCGTAAAAAGTCTAAGAGGAATAATTTTTGACGCTAAAGATTTTGTTTTTAGTGATCTTTATAATAAATTATATACTAAAGATGGTGAAAAATATGTGTATGAACTAGCTAAACAATAAGAAAAGAAAAGCAATGCTTTAATTCAAGTAAAGTGATTAAAGAAGAAAATCAAATGGTACTTTTTTTAGAGGAAGAAATTCAACATAGGATGAGTGAGCTATATTGATAAACTTTTCAATGAAGTTTTTGAAAATACGATAACCTTAGTGATATTAATATCGGTTATAATAATAAAACATTTTGTTATTACCGTAACATTAGTAAAAACAGGTTGATGAGAATTTAAAGAAAATTAAGGGTGAAACATCTGTATGACCTGATGATATCACAATGGAAGTGTGGAAGTATTTAAGAGAATTTAGAGTTTCTTGGCTTACTAAACTCTTTAATATTATTTTAAAAACTAAAAAGATATTTGACGAGTGAATGAAGGTTATTTTGGTCCCTATTTTAAGAATAAAGGAAATACACAAGAGTGTGCTAATTATAATGGAATTAAGTTAATGCGTCATACTTTAAAATTATGTGAGAGAGTAATTGAACATAGGTTAACATGTGATATAAAGATTTCTCATTATTAGTTTGGATATGTCGGGTGGGTCTTCCATGAAAGCTATACATTTATTGCGAGCTTTGATGGAGATGTACAAAGAGAATAAGGAGGATTTACATATATATATATATATATATATATATTTTTAAAATTTAGAAAGGGCTTACGAAAAGCTTCAAGGAGAAGTCATTTGGAGAGATTTAGTGAAGAAAGGTGTTGATTTGACTTATATTGAAGTCATTAAAGAAAATTCACGAACCCTTACGATACCTGAATCATAGAGTCGTGAGCCTCATCACGCTTGAAGAACACCAAGTTTTTCTCCGTTTTCTGTTTTCTGTTTTCTGCTGTCTGTGATCATGTTTGTTTTTTTAGGATTTATGATTTCAACCCTCTGTTGTGAGTACACCAAACTAGGCTCACAAATCTAGTAAATTAGAGATTTTTTGCCAAGAATAATTGTTAGTTCTTTTCTCGTAGGATTGATATGCAGACTCTGATATTGCATTTTACTTGACACGTATACTTGTGTGATTGACCGACTTCGCAGTAAGTTTTCGACCATCACACCCAAAAGCCGACCGACCATCCCACTTAATAATCGACCTACTTCCCATTCAAAAGCCATCGGGGCCCAGATAAAAGCCTACTGTAACCAGCTCAGTCGGCTGATCTGAAGGCCTGCCAAGCAAAGGGTCTAGACATGCAAAATGACTAGAATAACTTGTACAACCCCTCTAAAGTAGGGTAAAACATGTAACTTTGTCTTTTTGGTCTCTCTATATTCGATAAATACTTTTGGCTCTTCTCTCTTGAGTCTTCTTCTGTAGGAAGTCTCTCTCTTATTCTCCTAACCTCTATTTTTGATATATAAAATGGGTCACAAGAGTCCGAGAATATCCCATTTTGCCCTAGAGGAGCTCTCTGTTTCTCTCCTTTCTGATTCCTACCACTCTATTCCTTAGGCAAGTCTCCCAGGACAAATCTGGATTTAACACTGTTATATGTTGAATGAGTGATTGTTTGCATATTGTGTTGTTATTTTCTGGATATTTTGATTTTTATCTAGTGTATTTTGTGGATTCTTGCTGACTCTTTTATATATTAGAAGTCATGAGAATCTTGTAAAAAGCAAATGAAATATTAATATCGTTTGACCGCAGTTCATGACTTAATTAATGCTAAGCTATCAAGTCGGGTTGTGACATCACAAAAGGGAGAAGAGATGCCGGTTGCTATCCCGATACAAAACAAATAAAAAACTGAGAACCCAACTCTAATACAATTCATATATAGGGAAGGTCTTGAAAGAAATGAAGGATTAAAGGAAATATGCTAAAAACTGGAAAGAAATCATTAGGGGAGCTTGGTTCGATTTTGTGCTCTTTGCATGATCCATCAATAAATTTGAACGTCTAAGCTCTGAAGTGGTTAAAAGATAACTTTTGGCCACTTTTTAGGTTATGTCTATGACTTAAATCTTACCATTTACAATTTATAATTGAGGATGAAGAATGTGTTAGACAAACTGGCTATTTCCTTTTAAAAGGATTGTTGCCTCTCTCTTTCGCCTCTCCACACAGACACAGACACACACACACGCATTCACAATTGCTTTTTGATGTTATTGCTTTAGAAAATCAAGAATGTTATTGTTGGTTTTATGAACAACATCATGATTTAATTTGGTTACTTTTTATTTATAGTTGACCACCAAATGGAATTGATTGAACATAAACATCTTGAAATCCTCCTCACAAAATGAACTATTTATTATTGCACTTTTGAAATTAAAACCATTATTAAAGTCATTCTGATCGTCGTAGTATGTATGGACATAAAATTTACTTGATTTGACTTCTGTTGCCCCAGAAAAGATTAACGAATCATCAGCTTGACTTATATTTAAGCTGTTATGTTTGCATGTTCATGCACGTGATCAAATCATCTAGCAAGTTTATGAAATTGGCCTTTTTTTATTATTTTTTAACAGGAAAAAACTTGATTTTCAGTTGAATGTCGCATTATTGATGATAACATTAAAATATAATCATGTTGGATAATATCTCTTTCTATATAGAAATATCGTAGTCTATCCCTATGTTTAAATATTTACACATATTTCTAGTAAGGATATTTATAGTTCTGTTATGGTGCTTCATGTAACAAATACATCTGGATTTCTAGTTCTACAATGAGAAGAACTGTACTTAAGCCTATTAAATATCTTCACTATTCCCTAATCCAACAGTCAGAAGTTATTGTTTCTTTTATATGCTATCATTGATAGTCTGATTAAATTTGCTTACAGAATAACATTCTCAATATTGATCGATTACAGGATGTGAAGGAGCGCCAATGTTACCTCTGTTATTTGTTGTGGTTAACATGGCTTTTAATATATCAATGCTACATTGTCTTAAGATCTCTTCTGCTGTGGTGTCTAGCCTTGCCTCGACTTTCTCAGGTACTTATGTATCTTTTATTCCATCTAAGAATCTGAATCTTATGCCAGATTTAGGTTTACTTGAAGTAATGACAAATGATAAGTACAGGAATATATTACCTGGGCAACCATTAGAATTTTGACCAAGAAACATATTCAAGATATCGCAAAAGCTTTAAAATGAGTTTGTTAGGGTTACTATTATTTATTTTTTTTTTGAAGCAAAAATAAGAATTGTTTTTTTTTTCATTGAAAAAAATAAAACATGAAGCAATAGCAAAGTATTGCTAGATGAAAAGAAAAGCTAGAAACAAAATTCATTGATAGGGCCAAAGGAATGCCCGTAGGTGTCAATTGAAAAGCCTAACTTCGAGCCTAGAATATTTTGCAGAATTCCCTTCTTTTTGAGCATGCAGAATTTGAAATCTCTTCACCACCTCCTTTGTGCTTGAAATTCTTACAGAGGGAATAGAAAGCAAGCTTGGGTCACTTAACTCCCTTGCTTCAAGGAGATTAGAAGCAATATTTGTCACGACCCGACCTAAGACTTGAAAATTTACTAAGACTGAAATGGATGGCAGATGGTGAAATTAAATTATCTGATATTCTATTTCTATCACTAACAATTTATTATTTAAATATTTATGAAAAAGTTACTACAAAAAGTAATTTAATTAACAAGTAAAAGTTTTATCTTTTCGATTGCTATTCTCGCCTCCTGTACACATTAACTTCTCATCTATTTATCTTATTTAAAAACTTAAACCTGAAAAAAAATATTAAAACAACATAATTAGTTATTTAAAGATAGCTCAGGAGCAATCATTCTTATAAATTATAATAATCCAAGAAAAAGAAACAATATGCATGCTTATATTTCATATTTTATTGGAGAAAATGATATAACAATCTAATGTATTAATGATATTTATTCAATGGAAATAATCGAAACATCTTATATGCCATAACTTTAATTTTACTTTTATTTCACTTTTAACATTCGCGGCTGTCTTTGAGCACCATTAAAACATAAACTAACACATTTTTGCTCAATATTATCCCGTCGACACAGTGGTCCATGATCTAATTTACACGATTGTCTAAGGCAAAAAGGTACAACTCAACTCTGGACGATATTCTCTCATCGGCACAGCGGTTAATAATCTAAACATCGTAATTGTTTGGGGTGGTACGAAAACATCTACGCACGTAGGTATACTAGCTTCCCTTATCTGTATCATAAAAGGGCGATCTTCTCTTAGTATGCACATATAAACATTTATATATAAACAACTTTATTCTTTTATATTATGCATTTCTTTTCTCATGAGCTACTTTTATCTCTATCTACTGATGAATAATTACATTCTTTTTATATCTATAAGTTATGAAATAAACTGATATATGCATATTTACTAAAATTCTAATGTTCAAGTAAGAATGTGACTTATATATATAGATATATATGTGTTTGTGTGTGTGCGCGCGCGCATTTTGTGACTTGTTGGTAGAGTAGCCTCTCTGAAAGTAGTAAGTCCTCTCAGGTCACGAGTTTGAATCCCCTGGTGGTGCAGTGTCGCCTTAAGCTAGGTGGTACTCGAATTATTTGCACACCGGTGGGGGCGAGGGTTGAGTCCATAGGGTGGGTTGGGGACCTCACCCTCCGACCCATTCTCTTATATATATA